CCGATTTGAGCCTAATAACAAAAATTTCGATTTTAGAGTTCGTATCCTAAAAATCAAACACTCAAAGAACGAAATATTCGAATCCGAGGTATAACTCTCACCTGCAGGTTTGCGAGTCGCGGAGGAGATCGACGGCTTCACCGTAGAAAATCCGCCGGTTTGATATTTCTCCGGCTCGAATTCATCGGAATATCCCTCGAAATCGTGGATCGTCGTCAATTCAACGACGCCGTTCCGATTCCAGGAAGACTTCCCAGCTCTCACGTTCTTCCCATGATCGGACCACGACGGTGCTATGTAATCGGAAATTACGGCTCCTCCGCACATTTTAACAGAACTAAACGAGGGTGTGAATGAAAGTTTTTTTAAAAGTTTTGGGGTCAAAGTACAATTTATCAATTGTTGTAGGTGGTTCTGTGTTTTCTTGTTTTTGCTTCGTAGCACTTTCTCTTATATGCAAAACGACTAGGCGCGTGTTTCAACAAAACGACAATTTTGAGAAACATCCCAATTTCCTAATTTACCGTTTTGCCCTTGGGGTGGGTCCGTTGAAAATATCTAAAGGTGCACTGTATTTAGAATTTTTAGATAAGTTATGAATTGTATTATTAAATTTAATATTCGATCCTATCTTTACATTTTTTTAATCAGATATTTGAGTTTCTTGTTTTGCCACTTTAGGATAATAGTACTAGATTTTGACCACATCAAACGTGAGATTAAATAATTAAATATATTTTTAATCGAATTTAATATTTAAACATGTATTCTAACATTTATAAATACACAAAAAATGATACGTATTGTGCATACATATAATAAAACTAAATTTTGATCAAACATAAATATATTTTATCTTTGTTATTTTTCATTTCTCTCATCAATTAAAAATAATCATGAATTTTTTTTTAAATATTTTTTAATATCGTTTTTGATTCGGATAAAAAAATATAATATTATTGAAAAGAAAATAAGATATTTTTAAATATTTTCTATATTGCTTAAATAAAATTCTCTATATTAATTACCACATATTCGTTATTTCCATATATTTGTTATTAAGAATTTTTAATAATTTTTACTAATTTTTATTAGGAAATAAATTTCTTAAAACCCTCTTAGGATGACACCTACGAGTTTCACCTTGTGTCTCCTCGATTAATATATAGAATATATATTTTTTATTAAGAATTTTTAATAATTTTTATTTGAAAATGAATTTATTAAAATCCTCTTAGGATGACACCTAGGATTTTCACCTAGTGTCTTCTCTATTAATATACAGAGGATGAGTTTAATATCGATGATTTCTATCTACCCAATTAAATGCGATGTTATGTAAAATATTTTGTTTTGGGTTTTGTAACCTGTTATTTTGACCTAATATTATGGTCAATCAGGTTATGGAAAAATTCCCGAAAAATTTCCAAAAAATTCTCCAATTTAATTATATTGGCTGAAAAAATATACAAATTTTTTGGTTACCCGATTAATACCTAAACTATTTAACGTTGGTTTTTTAGTATACAAACTTTTTAAATATTTTGGTTTTACTACATCACGTGTTATCTACGGTAAATATATTAATAGATTATTA